AAAGGAAGGAAGGAATTAAAAAAAAAAAGAAGAGGAAAGAAAAAAGAGAGGGGAGAAAAGAGCTCTGCACAATTGCCAGGGCCCTCTGGCGGTAATAGTGAAGGTGTCCCTGGGCGGAAATTAAAAAAATTATATATAAAAGCACCTTGCAAAGTGAAAAACGCTCACCAGGGTGGTGGATTTTTTTCACAAAATGTGGAAAAAAGGAGGGTTTGGGATTCCCTTGCCCCTCTGTGGAGATGGGGATGTGCCATTTTCCTTACGGAGGGCTGCAGTGGGGGAGCTCCTTGCTGCCGGCCCCGTAAATTTATTCGTGATAAAGCCATTGAGGAGCACTTTGGGGCAAAAACTCCTAAATTTGGAGCTGGGGGAGGGTACTTGGGGACGTTTTAGCAAGTGTGGGCTGAGGGGACTGGGCTGCCGATCTGCAGAAACCCTCACATTGTGGTGGCCATACCAATTCTTTACAGAGGGGAAAGGGTCTGGTTTTGGGGGTAAAAGGGGGGTTTTCTGTCAATGCCTGCATGTCAGGGATCTCAGGCCAGCAAGGAGCACAGCCCAAATGTGTTTAAGAGCCCCGTGAGTGGTTTTGGGTTCACAGATGCCTCAAAAATGTGTCGTCTCCCCCCCCACCCCGGCCACAGTGGCCCTTTTGGGGGGCTTTGCCCCCGATGGGGCCTGTTGCCATGGCAACACCAGCTGGCTGCCCTCATCCAAGATGGCCCCTGGGGGCTTCACACCCCCAGGGGCCATCTTGAGCAGGGCCCTCCCAGCAGCAAGGGGAAGGCCGCGGCCATCTCGCCCCACTTGCCCTGACTGCCCCACACTGAGGAGGAGGCCGCAGCCATCTTCCCTCTTGCCCTGCCTGAAGGTGAGGCTGCCATTTTGGAAGAGGGCAGGCGCCGCCATTTTGGAAGCGGGCGCGGGCCGCCATTTTGGAAGCGGGCACCTCCCCTCTGAGGCGATCGCAACCCTCAGGCCCTGAATTAGCAGGTTTTCCCCCCAATTTCCACCCTCCCCGATCCACTAGTAATGTCTTCCACAAATATTTCCTCCCCAAAGCAAATTTCACCAGAGACAGTGAGGAAAATTTAAAGAAAAGCAGAGAAATTGTGGTGTATCCCCCATCTGCCTCATGCTTCTCCCGCAGCAAGAGAGACTCTCCTGGTAGGGATTGTAAATCTAGGGAAGGGCTATTGCATGGGTGCAGGGAGGGTTTGGGTTATTTTTCCCTGAATTTAGGTCTCTCAAGGTGATCCATGACACTTGTGACATGGCGGAGAGGTTACACAGCAGAGAGGCCGATGCTGTGAAAACCACCCCAAAAAAATCCTCTCTTCCCACCTTCACATCAAAAACCTTCGGTTCAGTGACCACCACCCCCTGAAAATGCGTTTCTAAAGGAACAAAAAAGGTCCACAGGGAGTTCTCCGAACTTTTTTTTTGCAGTATTTAATGCTTTATGCTGGAAAACCCAGCTGCTGGATGACAGGTGAGCGAGCCTGGGGCAAAAATGTGCCCATTTCCACAAAAAGCACTAATTTTGAGGCAAAACGGGCTGCCTTGAGGGTCTGCTGCCACTCAGGACAGTTCCAAACCCACATGGCATCTCTTTTTTGTTTTTTTTTTTACCAAAAAAAAAAGGTTTGAAAATGCTAAAAAAGCAAAGCTAGGCAAACCACCCACTGGCCAATAGTGTCGTTAAGGCTTAATTATGATTGCAAAGCTGCGATTTAAATTAATTAAACATCATGGGGGTTGTTGGGATGGGTTTTGAGCACAATGCATCCCAACCCTGCTGCCTCACTGGCTTTGGGGTGAATTAACCTGATTTAGGGGCACCCCAAAAAACATCCCTTTGCCCCATTCCGGTGGTGAAAAAACCCAGGAAAAATGGGAGGAAGTTTTATTGGGGCTGGTAGAAGAATAATTAATAAAAATTAAAGTAGGAGATGGCCCACGTTCAGCTTAACAAAGACACTTTGTTGTCAAATCATGACACATTAAGACAATTGTTTTTAGCGATTATTAAGGTGTGATGTAATAGTATTAAGATGTGATGTAATAGTATTAAGATGTGATGTAGTAGCATCTGTTTCCCAGGGACAGCCTGAGGAGATCTGGGTGAATTAACGTATATTTAAAGTTTAATTTTCAGCGATTATGGAGCTGCCCGTCATGGGGGGCCCCTTTTACAGGGCAGGTGGGGGGACCCATGTGTCTGGCTGCCCCCTGCACATCCTATAGGCACCAATGCATCCCC